GGCAAACTCTATTTTAAATGTGTTAGGAAGGACATATTTGCACAAATTGAAACTTTAACGGTATTTTTTAAATATGAAAAATGTGATATGCACTATAAGCATACTATGAGTATTTTTTACACTAAGAATATAGAGTGAAACTTAAAACTATATCCTCACAACATTATTGTGTGAATTACTATTTATTGTAATGTAGTTCACTAATTGAATGAAACAGCAAGGAACTCACATGAAATGATTTTTATCCGGTGGTTCACGCCACATATATATGTATGTATGTATGTATGTATTTATTCATTCATTATGAGATTACATATGACGACCTTAATTACATGACAGCCGAGGCTCATGGATATGGTGGAATTGACAAGAGTATTGGTGATGGATAAGATCAAAAAGTACAGTTATATTTACTTCCACAAAAAACATTAATGGTGGATATTTGGTGTTTCTGTAGCACCAGCTAGACCTTTTGCTGCTGCATCCAACACCAAGATGTGCATCATGCTGCTGTTGGATTCTGTTGATGATGGATTATGCGCAACCCGGATCTGATCTAACTTCCTGAACAGAGAGAAGAAGAGGTGATCCTACAAGCACCGGTGTGTTACCGGTGGAGTAGGCTCCGACGAATAAGTCAGTGTGCGAACTAATCTCTTAAGAGAAATCAAGAACTTGAGTTAGGGTTTTTTGCGTCCCTCCAAACGTTGATTACCCCGCCTTTTTTATAGGGCTTAGGTTAAGATGTCACGTAGAATTACCTTATTGTAATCTGTAGACTTAATCCTCATCGTAATCTTTAATCCTTATCACAATCTTTAATCCTTATCGTAATCTGTAAAGCCTATCTCAATCTGTAATCCTTATCGTAATCTGCAGAACCTATCTCAATAGTGTGTTAATTTAGCAATCTTCCCTTAATTATGGATATTTAAATTATACATCCATCAGTTGCCCCCCCGTTTCGGAGGATTGCTTGTCAAACCACCGGAACGTTAATTCCAAAATATCACACAATAATATATAGTTAGAATTGCAGAGCCTTGTCCATTAGCCTGACTTATATTGTCATTTCGCGAATACAGACAGGGGTCATAGTATCACATTGGCAGCTCGTATATGTGGCAAGCTCGTATATTTGTCGTATATTGGCAAGCTTGTATATTTGTCGTAGTGCCACATTGGCAGCTCGTATATGTGGCAAGCTGCCATGCTGGTAGTCTACCGTTATGTGGCAAGCTGCCATGCCATGTTGCCGTGGTAAGCTGTCCTGCTGGCAAGCTGCCGTTATTTGGCAGGTTGCCCTGCTGGCATGCTACCTTTATTTGGCAGGCATGCTGCTTTTATTTGGTAAGCTGCCATGCTAGCATGCTGCCTTTATTTGGCAAGCTGTTATGCTAGCATGCTGCCGTTATTTGGCAAGCTGCCCTGCCAGCATGCTGCCGTTATTTGGCAAGCTACCCTGCTGACATGCTGCCTTTATTTGGCAAGCTGTCATGCTGGCATGCTATCGTTATTTGGCAAGCCGCCCTGCTGGCATGCTGCCTTTATTTGGCAGGCATGCTGTTTTTATTTGGCAAGCTGCCCTGCTGGTATGCTGCCTTTATTTGGCAAGCTGTTATGCTGGCATGCTGCCGTTATTTGGCAAGTTGTCCTGCTAGCATGCTGCCGTTATTTAGCAGGTTGCCCTGCTGGCATGCTACCTTTATTTGGCAGGCATGCTGCTTTTATTTGGCAAGCTGCCATGCTGGCATGCTGCCTTTATTTGGCAAGCTGTTATGCTAGCATGCTGCCGTTATTTGGCAAGTTGCCCTGCCAGCATGCTGCCGTTATTTGGCAAGCTGCCCTGCTGACATGCTGTCTTTATTTGGAAAGCTGTCATGCTGGCATGCTGTCGTTATTTGGCAAGCTGCCCTGCTGGCATGCTGCCTTTATTTGGCAAGCGTGATTTGGCAAGCTGCCCTGCTGGCATGCTACCGTTATTTTATACTTGATTTTATTGACATCTTTAGTCGGCTTGTCCCTTTAATAAGGAAAGTAGATTAAGACGAGTTTTACGTAGCTCGTAATAAGGTAAGTAGATGAATACGAGCTTCACTCAGCTCCCCCTTTAACAGGGGAAATAGATTACTATGAGTTTCACCCAGCTCACCTTTTAACGAGGGAAGTAAATTACTATGAGCTTCACTCATCTCACCCTTTAACAAGGGAAGTAGATTAATACGAGCTTCACCCAGGTCACCCTTTAACAGGGGAAGTAGATTAATACGAGCTTCACCCAGGTCACCCTTTAACAGGGGAAGTAGATTAATACGAGCTTCACCCAGGTCACCCTTTAACAGGGGAAGTAGATTACTATGAGCTTCACTCAGCTCACCTTTTAACAAGGGAAGTAGTTAACCCCTTATCTTTTTACGAGGGAAGTAGATTACTATGAGCTTCACTCATCTCACCCTTTAACAAGGGAAGTAGATTAATACGAGCTTCACCCAGGTCACCCTTTAACAGGGGAAGTAGATTAATATGAGCTTCACTCAGCTCACCCTTTAACAAGGGAAGTAGTCAACCCCTCATCTTTTTACGAGGGAAGAAGATGAAGCTGACCCTTCATTCTTTTAAGGGGGAAAGAGGTGTGGTCTTGACATGGGAGTCATCTCCTTTGACGGTTGTCTCAGGATTTTGGCAAATCGTTGACACTTGTCGCACTTTTTAACGAAGTCAAGTGCATCTTTCTGCATGGTGGGCCAATAGTATCCTAGTCGGATGGCCTTGTTAGCAAGTGACCTACCCCCAACATGGTTTCCACAAACTCCTAGGTGGATCTCCTTTAAAATGTAGTCAGCTTCCTCGCTAGAAACGCATCGTAAATACGGTATGGAGAAGCTTCTCTTGTAGAGCACCCCTTTGATAAGCGTATACCTAGCTGCCCGCATCTTGACCTTTCGAGCTTATGCTCGGTCTGTTGGTAGCACCCCATCCTTGATATATCTGATGATAGGATCTGCCCATTCCACACTCAATATCGTTTGTTGCACTTCAATTTGTCTCTCCTGAGATATAGATGGTTCGTCCAAATATTCCAGTGGTATATTCTTATTGATCTCAGGTTCAATGCAGTAGCTAGCCGGGCTAAAGCGTTTGCTTTCCTATTCTCTTCTCGTGGTACTTGATGAATTGAGAATCTTTGGAAGTGATTCTTTAATTCCTTCACCTTTTGTAGGTAACTCTTCATCTTCTCGTCTCGTGCCTCATATTCCACTTGAACTTGTCCAGCGACCAGCTCGGAGTCGGTGTACATATTTAATTGCTCAACCCCTAGGGCATTTGCCACTTTTAATCCTGTTATCAAGGCTTCATACTCTGCTTTGTTGTTGGTTGCTTTGAAACCAAACCGAAGTGCGTACTGTATACTTTCTCCCTCTGGGGAGACAAGAACAAGCCCGGCTCCGCTAACCTGAACATTAGATGACCCATCCACGAACAAGTCCCAGACTACTTCTGGGCCCATCTGCTCACTTAAACCTGGTTCTGTCGAAAATTGGGGTTGTTTCTCCTCTTTTGGAGGGGTAAACTCAACTAAGAAATCAGCCAACACCTGAGCCTTTACTGCTGTTCTTGGCTTATACTGAATGTCGAACTCTTCTAACTCTACTGACCACTTCATCAGTCGACCAGAGCTTTCTGGCTTGTGTAGGACTTGTCGAAGGGGTTGATCTATTAGGACCACTATCGTATGCGCTTGAAAGTATGGTCTCAGTTTCCTGGCGGACACAATTAAAGCAAAGGCCAACTGTTCCATCCTTGGATATCTTTCCTCCGCACCCCTAAGTGCTCTGCTCACAAAGTATACTGGCCTTTAGATCCCTTCTTCTTCTCGTATCAGAGGTGAACTGACAGCTGTCTTGGAGACTGCAAGGTATATGTATAGTTCCTCTCCCGGTATGGTTCGAGACAATAGTGGGGGAGAACTAAGGTATTGCTTTAGTTCTTTGAACGCCTGCTCACACTCTGGGGTCCATTCAAACGCCTTCCTTAGCACACGAAAGAAAGGTAGACACCTGTCAGTTGACCGAGAGATTAGCCTACTCAAGGCAGCAATCTTCCCTGTTAGTCATTTTAGATCCTTGGTTGATCTTGGCGATCTCATGTCAATGACTGCTCGGATCTTCTCTGGATTGGCCTCAATTCCTCTTCTGCTTACCATATATCCCAAGAACTTTCATGAGGAAACCCCAAAGGCACACTTGCTGGGGTTGAGTTTCATCTTATGCCTCCTAAGTACCTCGAAGGTCTCCTGCAGGTCAGTCAAATGGTCTTCAGCTTTTAAGCTTTTCACCAACATGTCATCAACATATACCTCCATGTTTCTACCAATTTGATACTTAAACATTGCATTCACTAGTATTTGGTATGTTGCACCAGCGTTCTTAAGCCCAAACGGCATTACTTTGTAACAGTACAAACCTCTATCAGTGATGAAGGCCATTTTTTCTCTATCTGAGGTGTACATAGATATCTGGTTGTATCCAAAAATATGCATCCATGACACTTAATAGTTCGTGTCCAGCCGTTCCCTCAACGAGCATATCGATTCTTGGGAGAAGAAAGCTGTCATTCGGGCAAGCTTTGTTAAGGTCGGTGAAATCCACACATAGCCTCCACTTTCCATTTGCCTTCTTCACTAAGACCACATTTTCCAGCCAGTCGGGGTAGTACACCTCTTGAATAAAGTCGACTTTTAAGAGCTTTTCCACCTCTTCTGATATAGCCTGATTCCTTTCTGGAACGAAAGTCCTCCTCTTTTGTCTGACAGGTTTGAAGTCAGGATTTACATTTAAGCGGTGCTCCATGATAGTGGGGTCTATACTCGGCATGTCTTCATGCAAATACGTCTCGATTCTTCCTGAAGAATTGAGTAAGTTCATCTTTGATACCTGGGGGGAGTAAAGACCCTATACTCACTTTTTTCTCGGGCTCACCATCACCAAGGATGACCTCTTCTAGCTCCTCTGTAGGTTCTGCTCTATGAAAGTCTGGTCTATCTTTCCCTTCCAGCCCTTCAATCGTAAATGCCTCTTGCGATTTTGTTTTCTGAGAGAGGCGACATAACATTCGCGAGCTATTGTTTGGTCCCCTCTTAGCTCTCCCATACTATATTCAGTTGGGAAACGCATCAGGAAATGGTAAGTGGACGTGATTGCTTTCATGGCATTCAATGTTGTCCTCCCCATGATAATATTATATGATGATGGGCAGTCCACCACTACAAAGTCCACCATTACAGTGACCTGCTTTGGATTGGCTCCTACAGTAACTGGAAGGGTAACTGCCCCCAGTGGATATACTTTGTCGCCTGAAAATCCCACCAGTGGTGACTTCATGGGTCGGAGCTTCTCTCGGCCAATTTTCAATTTCTCGTACGCCCTAAGAAATAGTATGTCAGCCGAGCTACCATTGTCTATCAGTATTCGTCGAACAGTGAAATTAGCAACGACCATGGAAACTACCAGAGGGTCATCATGGGGCTGGTGAATTCCCTTGTCATCTTCTTCAGAAAAGGTTATGACCAGCTCCTCAACTCGAGGTAATTTTGTTGGAGGACTTGTCATTCCAACTTCATTCACCTCTGAAAAACTCCGAATTCTCCTAGCATGAGACCTCCTAGCCGAACTTGTCTCACCACCACCAGCGAAGCCACCCGATATAACTTTGATCTCACCCATTGGTTGGTGTTGAAGAGGGCGATCATCTCGGCCCTCCCGGGCTGGGTTGGAGCCTCCTTTTCCATTTCTAGTTGTGAATTTGCGTAAATGACCTTTACGAACAAGGTTTTCGATCTGGTTTTTGAGGCCGAAACAATCTTCTGTGTTATGTCCATGGTCCCGGTGAAACCTACAGTATTTACCTAGAGACCTCTTTGTTGGATCAGCTTTTAGCTTTGGCGGCCATTTCAATGATGCGTCATCTTGAATCTGCAAAAAGACTGGCTCTACAGATGTATTTAAGGGGTATAGTTATTATACCTGCCTGGGCTCACTGGGCGGCGAGACGATCTGTCAGCCTGGTTGTTTGAAACCATCAACTCTGTCATGCTTGTAGGGGCTTCTTTTGATAAGGAAAATAGGAACTTAGAAGTCTATAGTCCTCCCATAAAGGCTGTGAGGGCAACCTTGTCGTCCAGCTCTTCTACCTGCAGCATATCAGTGTTAAAACGACTTATGTAACCACGGAGAGGCTTTCCCTTCTGCTGTTTCACATTCAATAAGTGTGTTGCTGTCTCCTATGCCTCTGCCCAGCGATGAAGTGTCCAATGAATTGTTTGCTTAACTCATTAAAGATTTCAATGGAGCCTGGCTTTAATTTATTGAACTAAAGACGAGCCCAACCCTTTAATGTGGTAGGGAAAGCCCTACACATAATCTCATCCAGTACGACTTGCAAATACATAAGAGCTTTGTAGGTCTCCAAATGATCGAGAGGGTCCCGCGTCCCATCGAAGCTCTCAAGAGTTGGCATCTTAAATTTGCTAGGTAGAGGACAACTCATAACATAACAGCGAGGCTAAATGCTAGGTTGGTCTTCTGTACCAGATCGTTCACTGTGGCCTGGCCCTTCCCTTTCATTGCTTGCATGACGTCTTTGACCCTAGTTCCCAGATCTTGCATCTACAGATTGAAATAAGTGACGTCTTCAGTCTTGTCACCAACACAACCAGAGGTACCTGCACGGAGCCTGGTGTTATTCCGTTCAAGAGACCGATGGTGATGGCTTCTCTGTTGACCCCCTATTTGACTAAGCTCAGCGTCGTTGTCAATCCTACGGGAGTCATTATTGGGCACTTCATTATTCTCCACCTCATTAAGGGCGGCTAAGCGTTGTAGAATCATTGAATTTTGCTGGACTAATTGGTTCATTCCCTTATTTAAGGTTTAAACCTGTTGTTCCAACGCTGTGACGCGTTTCTAATCGTTTGGGACGGCGGGGGGTTGCCTCGTCGAGTCCCTTGATCAGAAGTTTGCAACGCTTCGTATTCGCCAGCAACCAGACCAGATCGCAATCGAACCATACTTTATTTAGAGAACTAAAATCGTTCCCACAGACGACGCCAACTGTTGATGATGGATTCTGCGCAATCTGGATCTGATTTAACTTCTTGAACAGAGAGAAGAAAAGGTGATCCTACAAGCACCGGTGTGTTACCGGTGGAGTAGGCTCCAACGAATAAGTCAGTGTGCGAACTAATCTCTTAAGAGAAATCAAGAACTTGAGTTAGGGTTTTTTGCGTCCCTCCAAACGTTGATTACCCCGCCTTTTTTATAGGGCTTAGGTTAAGATGTCACATAGAATTACCTTATTATAATCTGTAGACTTAATCCTCATCGTAATCTTTAATCCTTATCACAATCTTTAATCCTTATCGTAATCTGTAAAGCCTATCTCAATCTGTAATCCTTATCGTAATCTGCAGAGCCTATCTCAATAGTGCGTTAATTTAGCAATCTTCCCTTAATTATGGATATTTATTATACATCCATCAGATTCATTTCCTTTTAGAATTGAATACCCCTTATTATGTATAAACTGAAGATTATTATTGTTATTACTTTTTTAGCAAAGTTAAGCAAGTTTGTAATTTTGTATTATATATATATAAATGTACATAGCCCATTATATAAGGTCGGACCCTATATAAATCACTGAGCCCAAATTTGGTTCAATTTGATAATTATTAGCTGGGATTAATGTTAACTCGTAGGCATGTAAATGAATCGAATTGAGGCATGCACCTTGCTTTATCTGTTAATTGATCGAATTTCCTTGAGTTTTGTCAAGAGCTCTCCACTAGCCTACTCAAGCGTATTATTTTGCATTCTTATTTATCATTATATGAAGTCAAAGCCACTATATTTTAAAAAAATAGAGTTGATCCAAATACTACATGAACATGAAAAACACTATTCATTTGATGAAACTATCTTTATTATTTCCATGTAGCACCCTTGTGCACAGTGATACCACCTTTGTACACGAAAGTACTGCGTACTATTTTTGCTGAAGACCACCATGTCATCAAAATTGTCTGCAAAACAAAAAAAAAAAAAAAAGGAAAAGAAAGTTAACTTGTGATAAATAAAAATAAAAATATATATAAAAAAAAAAAGGTGGTACCTTGGTGCACAAAATGGGTACTTGGAAATAGTAAGGATAGTTTGAGCTAATGAACAAGGATTTTTCATATCAGGTAAGTATTTTGACTAATTTCATTTTTCTGAAATATCATGTCTTTGACTCTATTAAATGATAAATAAAGATCAAAAACTCTATATATGCATAATAATTATAAATTCACTTCAATGTATTGCAAACTTCCCTAGAGCTTTTTTTAAGTTCTAGTTAGTAGTGCACTGTGTACCGGACACATCACAACCATCAATGTTGTACATACTCAGGAACGAACGGCTACGATGTGCCCGGTGCACCGAACACACAGTATTTTTTCTTTTTTTTCGAATGTTAAAACACACCATAAATATTCTCCTAGTTGGTAAGCCAAAAACCTCAAATCTAATGAAAATTTGTGATTCTAAGAAGTATACTAGTATTTCTAGCCAGCATAATTAATTAATCAAGTTACCTAGCTTCCTGTAAATTAATCAATTAGGTAGTAAAGTCGATTGCTAGCCAGTGGCCTATGATGAAGATGTTAGAAATTAAATTTGATTATATTTTAAATGTCTTTGAAGGTTATGAATGTTTTTTATTTGATATTTAATTTTATGTTTATGTGAGTTTTTATTGGAGTTAGTGGGGGGCACGAGAGTTACAACTAGTAATGGTCATGTTGGTTTGTGGGAGTTTTGCCTACTAAATGTTATGTTAGTGTGGTGTCAATTTTTCATTTACATTTATGTTTTGAAGCCTATATTATAACCCATGTATTGTACCAATTTTCAATCAAGTGAAATAAAAAGTGTTTTCCTCCATTTTTATTCTCTTCCAAACAGTATAGTGTTGTGTGTGTAACTAGGCCACTATTTCCAACAAAGTGGTATTAGAGATAGTTTGTTAGAGAGAGAAGAAATGGCAAACAATTCAGTTCTATTTCAAATGCCTCGATTCACCAAAGATAACTATGAAAATTGGCGTATCCGTATGAAGGCAATTTTGGGAGCACAAGATGTGTGGGAAGTTGTTTCCAAAGGTTATGATGAGCCAGAAGATGAGGCAACTTTGTCTCAAGCCAAAAAAGATGTTTTACAAGCCATGAAAAAGAAGGACCAAAAGACGGTGATGACCATCCATCAATGTTTAGATGATGGAATGCTACAAAGAGTTGATAGTGCAGAAAATGCAAAGCAAATATGGGAGATTCTTCAAAATTCCTTCCAAGGAGTTGATAAAGTGAAGAAGGTTCGCCTCCAAATGTTACGGGATAAATTTGAAGCATTGCATATGATGGAATCTGAATCAATTTCAGATTATTTTTCGAGGGTCCTGGCTATTGTAAATCAATTAAGAAGATATGGCGAAACCACCATGATTGATACAAGGGTCGTTGAAAAGATCCTTCGATCGTTGGATTCCAAATTCAACTATATTGTTGTAGCCATTGAAGAGTCAAAGGATTTGGATTCCATGACTGTTGATCGACTCATGGGTTCGTTGCAAGCTCATGAAGAAAAGGTGGTAAAGAAACAAGAAACTTTGGAGCAATCGCTACAAATAAAGTTTTCGTTGAACGAAAGAGACGAAAAACATGGAGTAAATCAAAGGGGTCGAGGGCGTGGAAATGCACGTGGCCGAGGAAGAGGCTGTGGAAGAGGAGAAAGAAGTGCTCAACACATAACTAACAATGAAGAAAAAGTCCATGACTCACAACAAATAAGAGGTCGTGGTAGAGGAAATTACTCAAGGTCATATGGAAGGAGGTATAATAAGTTTCAAATTCAATGTTACGATTGTCAAAAGTATGGTCATTATGCTTCGGAATGTAGAAATATTGCTAAAGATGTTGAAGAAAAGGCTAATTATATTGATGAAGAAGTGGAGCCTACTTTGTTATTGGCATACAAAGGTGAAAGGAGTGAAGAAGATGTGTGGTATCTTGACACCTGTGCTAGTAACCATATATGTGGTAGCAAAGAGAAGTTCGTTGATATTGATGAATCAATAAATGGCAAGGTGACATTTGGAGACTTATCACAAATTCCGGTAAGAGGGAAAGGTAAAATATTGATTCGTTTGAGGAATGGGCATCATTAATTTATCTCTAATGTTTATTATGTGCCTAATATGAAGAACAATATTTGAGTTTGGGAAAACTGTTAGAAAAAGGCTACAATATTTCAATGAAGGATTGTAGTCTTTCAATAAGAGACCCATTGGGTAATTTGATTGCCAAGGTTCCAATGACAAATAACCGGATGTTTTTGCTAAATATTCAAGCCGACGAGGCTAAATGTTTGAAGGCTTGTTTTAATGATTTAACTTGGCTTTGGCCCTTGAGACTTGGGCACTTGAATTTTGGAGGATTAGAGTTGTTGGCCAAAAAGAAGATGGTGAAGGGATTGCCTTTCATTAGCAATCCAAATCAATTATGTGAAGGATGTCTCGTTGGAAAGCAATCAAGGAAAAGTTTTCCTAAAGAAGCTACCACAAGAGCTACGATGCCACTGCAACTTATCCATTCGGATGTTTGTGGTCCAATTTCTCCATCATCATTTGGTAAGAATAATTATTTGTTATTATTCATTAATGATTTTAGCCGAAAAACATGGGTGTATTTTCTTAAACAAAAATCGGAGGTGTATGGAATTTTTAAGAAATTTAAAGCACTTGTTGAAAAACAAAGTGGCTATGATGTAAAGGCTCTTCGATCCGATAGAAGTGGTGAATTCACATTAAATAATTTCAAAAAATTTTGTGAAGAAAATGGAATTCACCAACCTTTAACGGTTCCGAGATCACCCCAACAAAATGGAGTTGCAGAAAGGAATAATAGAACCATTCCCAATATGGCTCGAAGCATGTTGAAAAGAAAGGAAATGCCTAAAGAATTTTGGGCTGAAACGGTTGATTGTGCAGTGTACTTGTCCAACCGGTGTCCTACTAGAAGTGTGCAAAACAAAACACCACAAGAAACATGGAGCGGAAGAAAGCCAAGTGTCTCTCATTTGCGGGTTTTTGGGAGCATTGCCCATGTGCACGTGCCAGATGAAAGGAGGACCAAGTTAGACAATAAAAGTGAAAAAATGGTATTCATTGGCTATGATGTAAGTTCCAAAGGCTACAAGTTGTACAATCCAAGCAATGAAAATATTGTCATTAGTAGAGATATTGAATTCAAAGAGGGAGCCACATGGGATTGGAACACTCCAAATGAAGATTATAATATTTTTCCAATTTTGGATGAGAAGCAAGAAAATGAAGGCATGGAGCAGCCCATTTCTCCACCAATATCACCTCTACCACCATCAATTCAAGATCAATCAACTCCATCATCATCAAGTTCAAGTGACACACCACCACTTCGCATAAGGAGTCTTCGTGACATATATGACGAAACAGATGAGGTAACGGAAAGGTTAGGTGATCTAACACTTTTTTGTCTCTTTGCGGATTGTAAACCCATAGGATTTGAAGAGGCGGCACAAGACAAAAAATGGAGAAATGCTATAGATGAAGAAATTAAATCCATGGAGAAGAATGACACATGGGAGCTTGTTACACTTCCAAAAGAGCAAAAGGCAATTGGTGTCAAATGGGTGTATAAAGCAAAGAAGGATGCAAATGGTGAAGTTGAAAAATATAAAGCAAGATTGGTCGCCAAGGGTTACAACCAAAAGCCCGGAATTGACTATGATAAGGTACTTACACTTGTAGCTCATTTGGAAACAATTAGATTGTTAATTTC